CTATAATATAATTTATTACATTCATTGCTAAATAATTGCAAGGACTCTATTTAATATAAATAACAAAAATAACGGAATAATCAAAGGAGAGTGTTCAGGAAAATGTTCATGTATTTATCATTATACTATGTTTATAACTACGATACTGATTTAGAATTTGATAAAGAGATAGCAATTACTTATGAGATAATGTCTTTTTAGATTTTTACTGGGATGCCTAGTTATACTTGCGACAAAATTCTCTAAATTTGTCATGATTAATGTTTGCGATAAGATTCTTCAGTCAACGCGTACCTGAGCAATCCTAGAGATTAATCAACAATAACGTAACGGAACGGAACGTTCGCATGTTGGACACCTCATTGATCTGCCAATCTGGACATTTTCGGTGATAAATCTTTGGAAACCAAGCGAGCGAAACGCCAGCAATCCTATTAATTATCGCGCCCTCATGGAGATTAGAATAGAGATTATCGTCTCGTAATTCCTAAGAATCCAATATCAACCCAAAATTCACCTCTTTGGCAGTGCTGAAGAAAGATAGACGACACAGATCAAAACTTATCGATCTTTTTTCAATAATTAAAGTTCATTAGAATTAACTTTCTCAATTATAACTTTTATGATAAATTATTTCCAATAAATAAAATGAATTACGTCGACTACTTCCAATCTAAGAGCCTTTAATTTACTTTGTAAATTAACATCATTTTAACATCTCTCGCATTTTGACTTTTCCTTTTTTAACATAAAATTTTATTATTAATTGTCATAAAATTCTTTACTATAAAATTATAAACAATATATAAAATATTAAATAATATAAAATTGTATTAAATCTAATATTATTTATAAAATGGAAAATCAAAGCTCTTAAATGTTATATAATATATATTTATATAATATACTTTTGAAAATAAATTATATATTTGCTTAATAAATTATATATTTTCTTAAACATTATTTTTAAAAAAATATAACATAATAAGTTTATTTTATTATTAATTTCAAATTAACGTAAAAATATCATACATATGTATTACAAGCGTTTTAATTTTGCAAAAATGAAACAATAAATATAACATAACTTATAAAATTTCTAAGCAACGTAGATATAATTTTATCATTTAGAACAGTGAAATTATGAACAAGTTAGATATAATTCAACCCGCATAATTACCGTCCTTGCCTTTAACGAGGCTTTGCTTTGCCCTTATCTTTACCTTGAAAATCGAGTCGAGTCGACCTGCATAATTAGACATATCTCCACCAATTTCATTAATCTTTTTAAATTTACGATGTAACCTTCAAGAAAGTTAACACTAAAGAACAAACGATACGGAAAAGACTATTAACATTCTCGCCAGAAGAGAAACTGCACGTTGTACCAATGACAACAGAAACGAAGATAGAGTACCTGCAGTATCCCGCAAAGAAAGACAGAGTATATGCAGTGCTCTGTCTTGTTCTCTATTCCTGATACGCATTGCAGTTAGTCCTTGTCGCCAGAGGCCCTATTTAATCGTAAATTTTGACTGAGAGCGACTAAAACGGCCCTGAGGGATCAAGAATTAGGAGAAATAATTAGTTGCGACGGTTAACTGTTCATTCACTTGGAAACAGCTGATTTTCATTAGCAGCGACGATTAAAAGCGTCGTATCCGAATTAAGCACTCCTTGAGAGGATGTTCGTTTAATTAGGACTCCTTTCTCGCGTTCTGACTGCAGTCGCAATCAGCCTCGTGCGGGTTTCCTTCTCGTACCACCTTACTTCTCTCCCGCGCGCAAATAAGTCGAATCGTCTCGAGCCGAAAAGCTTAGAAATAATACTTTCGTCACGCTTAAAGCAAGTAATTTCAACGAGACTGGAGTATGGACCACAGATGCTTCACTCACAGAACCCTTGTTGTTTCTTTAAATCCATCGAGAGGTTCGCCAAATTATTATCAACACCTGGGAACTCGACTGGGGTAGTCACGTCTTCGAAAAACCCACAGGAATCTCAATCGACGGTTCGTCGAGAGCGACCGGATCGCAATGAGATACGTTTCGTATCCAGCAATCGACTGAAAAGATCGATTCCGTCGCCGGATAATTAGGATCGCGGCGATAGTCCTTACCCCGGCTCACACCCTCGTCTCGTTGTACGGGCTGGACGAGCTCGCGCCCTGGCGACGCTGCCGGTCGGCGTCGCCTGGCACGTTGAACACGACATTCGGCACGGTCGTCGGGTCGACCGGGGCTGACTGATAATGCGACCGACCGGGTTGTGATTGGTGAGAATGGGAGGAGGACGAGGGCGCGGTCTCGTTTATGGAGGTAATCGAGGCGAGTATACGTCGACCGCGTACCTGGTAACGTTGGGGGTAGCAGCGCCCGCAGCAGGACTGCAGCAGGCCGCCCCTGGAGGCAGTGCTGTGCGCGGGGGAGGTCAGGGGCGATGGCGAGCCCGGCCTCTTCGGGGCACCGTTGTACGGCACCTCCATCTCCACGAATTCGCGATCCTGGAAAAACAATAACAGACGGAGCTTTTAGACGAGAGGGCTTTCTTGATTTGAGAGAGTTTGAGCTTGGGAAACGCCGAAGAGAAGAGTTATGCTGCAGGCTTATTTATGCGGAATAACATTAATGAAGATAGTCGTTGAGCTGTAAAAGGTTCAGATAACGAATGAAAGAAATGAACTAGATAGAATGATGAAAAGACTGAGAAAAGTTAAAGGACAAAACAGATATCCGATAAACTAGAAAGGATCGAAGCAAGAAAAGAGAAAATAAAGACGAAAAAGATAAAAAGATATATATATAACTTTTTTAGATTTTCTTTTCTATTTTCTCCCTCCTTCTTTCTCTCTCTTTGTTATATAAAAATTAAATAAATAAAAAAAAAAATAATATATATATATATATATAAAAACTAAAGAAAATAATGGTTAATAATGTAGATACTGAAAAGAAGATCCACATGAAACTGACAATAAGTAGAGGCACACTGAAGAACGAAAAGAATAATTGGATTGGATAGAAGAATGTAACAAAAAAAACTAACGACGTGCAGGATCCTTCTGGTTTCATTCATTTTAAGGGAAAGGACAAGGAGTTGCAAAGTTGAAAATTCTACCAATTCTTAAAGGGGACACATTAATTAGGAGGATCGTATTGCTAGAAAGCTTGATTTTGAGCCATGCAAGATAAAATATGAAAAAATAAATGCCTTTATTAGAATTATTCTAATTATATGAAATATTTAATATGTGAAGTAATCATCAATGGCACATTTATCTAGGAAGTATATGAATTACAAAGAACATATCTATGAGTTCGTCCTTATAGGATTACAACTAACTATAATGAAATTATTATATAATTCTTTCTTCTCTTGAATATCATTCATCACGTAACAGCAAAATGAGTAGTCGTATCTAATTGTACGTAAAGCATTGTGTTGCAGCAGAAAATAAGATTATTAACAGGTTTTCAGCATAATCATATCTCATACTTTCTTGACGACGTAATATAAATTCCCTCTCATATAAAATTTCCTTGATATATTTTTCATTAAATTTTAATTCTAGCGGAAAATAACATCTCGCTACAGCTAGCTAATTAATTAATCTGCTTTGCATACACTGCCGCTTTCGCACCGAGACAAGACGTAGCGAAGTTATATTTCTCGGCGTGTTGCCGTCGCTGACCCAAGTTTGGTCTGCCATGTATTGCTTAATCTACGAAGTTACTGGTTAACCCGAATTAAGCCAAGATGAGAAAGCAAGCGGCGCACCCTTTCTGTTGTGTCTCGCTGTTGAACTATGTCAAACTTGTATTTTGCTTGCGGTTCCAGCCTGAATTGCATCACATATATTTCGCATTAATTTAAGATTGCATAATTACGATAACTAATATTCTGTTATATTAACTCGTACGTTATCATATAAATCATATTAAAGCGAGGAAAGACAACAATGTTGCAGTATTTACTCATTAATTAAATTTATTGATTTTTTTTCATAATAATTTGTCTTCAATCAAAACGTAAAATGTTATTGAAATAAATATACTGCAGCATTTTTCGATATCTCTCTTTGTAATTATTCTTTTAATGTTTACATATATTATTTATTAAATGATGATTGGAAAAATGCCACTTGAAATTCAATTCGCTTCGTTGTCGTATTTTATCTCAAATTTAAAAAAATTTTTCTTTTTTTAGACGTTTTTCAATAAAATTCTTTTTTTAAATTCATTAACGCGATCCTTTACCGTTATTTTATTTAAGAATTGTTCAATCACTAGAAAAATTTCAATAGATACAAAAAAAATACGTGTATACGTGGGATTCTGAGAACCGCGTGCGAGACGAAATGTCTTGAGGAAATCCTGCGGGGACGATGCTCGGAAAACGAGAGGTTATCGAGTGATCTCAACGTGAACGTCGCGTTCTTGGGCGTCGCGCGAAAGGATATTGCTTGTATAGAATGGAGCAGCGCCTCGATCTCTTTTGCGATAAACGCGCCCGAACAACTCGACGAGATTCGCATAAACTGGCAAAAGCTTTTCCCGTGTGATAGATGACGATTACGATCACGATAACTATTCCCTCGCTATTTTACATAATTAGTAGATTTACGCTACCACGCTGAATATGATTAAAAGATCGCTTCAATAGATTAATTGGCATTACAGAAACATATTTCATATACATATTTCACGTATAAAATATTCATAAAATCTAATAAAAAATATAAAAATATATTATATATTTATACATTTATATATATATTTATATGTTTTATGTATAAAATTATTTATAAAACTTTAATAAGGAATATAAAAATATATTCCACAGCGTTACATTAACAGTTTTAATACTACATGAACGGCAATTATATAAAAAAAAAATTTCATAAATATTTAGAAATTCTATTAGAAATTCATTTTGAAATAATAATAAGTTGTAGTAATAATAGTTGTAGTAATATGATAAAAGAAAAATGTAACTAACTTTTATTGGTTTATCATGTCGACATAAAATATTGATATCACATTTACGCAAAAAGTTATAGCAGTATAAAACGGCTTTGTCAGCTTTTCGAAGAATTCCCGAAGGAATCATGCACAGTTTTCAAAGCTACAGATAGCTCGCATTCGAACGAACTCGATCTTGGAAAACTATAGGATTACTCGAGAGACTGTCCGTATTTCTACGCGCAGACTTTGCGGAGAGATGCAATTTGTTCACATAAAGCCCTCATCATTCGGACTAACGTATTCTAATCCCGGCGCAAGAGTCATGTGATTTGTGTAAGAAACATGAGGGATTATCATTGATAACCCACGCTAAAATCTAGACAATAATACAGATTACTCAAATCAAAACTCTCTAAATTTTCTTCTTACCAAAAAATTTCTGAAATAAATGTTTTATAATTGTAAAAGTTTCTTTGTATAAACAAAAATTATATGAAAGAATATATGTCAAAAACATAACATGAAAAAATTAAATACCAAAATGGATGTTTGGACAGCCAAAATATTTTTTAATAAAAAATAATATTTAATAATTATATTAAAATATAAAAATTGAAGAATACTATCACGACTCTCAAATAAATAATTCCATGAATTATGTAGTGAATTCATTAAGCAAATCTTTAATGAAGAATTTAATTGTATTTATCATCAATATAGTGTTCCTTCCTAAACTAAGATATAGTAAATATCTAATTTTAATTTAAAATTAAATTATACACAAATTATTATAGATAAATTATACACAAAATTATAAAAGAAATGTGCGTTAAATGTGTATACGTAAATCAAATCTTTTCTCGTCTCAAGATTTTCCCAAATTTCCAGATTTAGCTTCTGTTGACTCATCGTCTGACTCCCTTCCTAGAAGTTATTCACCTAAGGCTGGTCCATATTCCATCCAGGATCTTCACAGTTACCTCCGTAAAGGTCAGATTAGACTCGTCCTTATCACGTCTTACTGCGTCCTCTGAGAGTAACCGAGCATAAGGATAAAACGAGGAGTCTTTATGGGGCCGAGATCTGTCCAATGAAAGACGTTGTCTCCCCTTTTATTTTCTCAAGAGAACTCGCAATACACTTTTGCACGTATAGCATTGTTCGTGTGGATATCGCGCAAAAGGAGGCGCCGCTAATGACGGTTTTGCAGAAAGATGGATGAGTCGGATGCGCCAGTGCGATGGGCTGATCGATTCCTCGAAATTTTTGCCGATGCCTGATACTGATGGACGAAAAATTACCGTGAAATATGAATCTCTTCAGATTTCGAATTTTTAAATAACATATACTCGTATTTTTCTCTACGTATTTACTTTCAATATTCAATCATAATTCAAGCAAAATTTTCAATATAAATTGATATTAAGAATTTTTCTTAATATCACTCTTTTTTATTAGCCCCTTTGCTATTTTAAAAATTATAATATAAGCAAAAAATCATACAAATTTCTATTTTGCAATAGACGTAAAATCTTACTATATACAACTTGTATGTTTAATAAAATTAAAAATATAATAAAAGTATTTTATATAACATATAATAATAATAAATAATTATACTATTTAATGTTTACTCTCTTTCTTGTTACAAATAGATATAAATATAAATATAAATAGATATAAATTAGATGGTAAAAATTTGCAATTAACAAACCGGAAAAAAAACTAGCAAATTTCACAAATGTGCTTGATTATACGCAATAATATGCAAGAGACTAATATTTTATGACATTTATACATTATAATAACAAATAATAGTTCTTTGCTTCTGACGTCACAATTTTGCAATGACGAATCAAGAAGATGCGGTGAAGATACATATGCATTCCCGACACGACACGAGCCATGATCAGCGTCCGTAAATCAGTAACCATCGCGTTGCCTCATAAATAACTCAACGCGGCATACGTGACTTGCCATACTTCGCGATTTTACGATCATAATGATATTTTGACATACTCATGCGAACCATGCTTAGCGAAAAAGCAGATCGGCACGTAGCTTTCAACGATAGCGAAAAATTGCAGATCCTTCTCGCGTCGAAAATTGTAAAGAAACCACGATTTTTCTCAGAATTGATCTCATACAATCATATCCAAAGCTAGTTCAATAGTTTTGTTAAATTATTTTGTTAAAAATGACATTTTCAGATTATTTAAGTTTTGTACATCTTTTGTAATTATAAAAGTAACTATTAAATTAATGTCATTACGTTATGTAAATATGGTGTCTACGTGACTTATTATCTAAAATATCTAGAGTCTTTTGAATTATGCTACTGAATCTTCTTATCTGCTTCCTTTTTTCAAGAGAAGATTTTTTTACAATCCGATAAAACATGAAACACAGCAGAAAAATTTAATTTATATTACTGCGTTCACTTATACCAAACTTAAATTTATCGTGCAATGTATATTTATGGCTGCGTATTTCTTTGTCGTACGCGAGATTTAGCTGCTTTTAGAGTATTAGAGCATCA